TTGGGGCTATCCCTGTCCCCCGTGCCCTATCCTGGCTGTCCCTCATCCCGTCCCCATCCCTGGCCCCGCAGAACCTCTCCGTGTGCCCTGAGGAGGAGTCCATCATCCTGTCATCCTTCGTCAGCTCCCTCTCAGCTCTCTCGGTCAAGGAAGGTATGGTCAGTGTCCCCCCTGCCACGTCCCTGGCACTGCCCGGGGACCGATGTCCCTTCTGCCCTGGGACCCCTGCAGCAGTCCTGGACTGTGCTGGGCACCCAGGCACGGGGAGACGGCAGCTCCTGGGGGGCCTGGGGGGTGGGGCCTGCCACCCCCGACTGGCACCCCCTCCTGGGGGTCCTGTGGGGTGGGCACTGCCACCCCAGACTGGCACCCCCAGGACCAGTACCTCCAGATCAGCGTCCCCAGACTGATACTCCCCCCAGCCCCCTCCCCACAGCCGCGTCTCCCCACTTTTCCGTTTCCCCACAGTTGATGACAAGGAACAGTTTGATTTCACACCGCTCCGCCTGGACTGGTTCCGGCTGCAGGTGCTGTCCCTGTCCTTGTCCCTGTCCCTGTCCCTGTCCTTGTTCCTGTCCCTCTCCTTGTCTCTGTCCCTGTCCTTGTCCCTGTCCCCATCCCAATTTCCATCCTTGTTCCCGTCCCTATGCCAATCCCCTTCCTCTCCCCATCCCTGGCCCCATCCCTATTACTGTCCCTATCCCTGTCCTTGTCCTGGTCCTCTTCCCCTGCCCTGCTGTGCCCCTGAGCCCGCTGTCCCCCCAGGCCTACACCAGTGTGGCCAAGGCCTCGCTGCCGCTGGGCTCCAACCCTGACGTGGGTCGTGTCATGAACCTCATCGTCTTCCACACCAAACTGCTTGACTCCTTGGAGGAGCTGCTGGCTGAGGCCTCCGATCTCTCCGATCTGTGGTGAGCGCAGGCACCCGCTCTGCCTCAGTTTCCCCACAGTCACGGGGGGGGTCACCCTGGCTCTGGGGGTCTTCAAGCCACATCCTGCACCCCAGCACACATGGAAAGGTGCCCACGTGTGCTGGGTGACAGCTGTGGAAGGGATAGAGGTGGCTGTGGGGGACATGTCACCCATGAGAGGGGTTGGGCAAGGTTAGGTGACATACACATGGACATGGGAACAGGGACAACACACATGTGGCACAGGAGCAGCGTATCCAGAAAGACAAATCCCTTCTCCTGCCCTCCCTGCCCACTTCTGCCCCTCTGCCCCCACCCCTGCAGTTTCTACCCTCGCCCCATGGAGAAGATGTTTGTGGCGACGATGGAGGAGCCCTCGATGCTGCGCTACAGCATCGCCTTCCCTCTGCTCTGCAGCCACTTCTCCCGCTGCGTCCACCCCATGTGCCCAGAGGAGGTGGGTCCTGCTGCCGGGGGGGACACGGGGGACACAGGGGCACCATGGCTGGCTGCTGCCCGGCCAACTGTGGAGGGGCTGGGGCAGGCACACGTGGGTAGGGGACAATGGCAGCCCCATGGCCTCAAGGCAGCTGGTGGCACGCCGCAGACGTGGCTGTGGCCCACATGCTGTGCTGTGACAGTGCCGTGGCTTTTCCCCCACAGTATCCCCACCTGAAGGCCATAGCGCTGGGGATGTGCAACAAGTTCCTGGAGGAGATAGCCCGGCAGGCCAGCGCCTGCGTCATGGACGCCTGTGCCGAGCAGCACAATCTCAGCGAGCAGGTGAGGGTCGCGCCTCCAGGGCCTCTGAGGTCTCTGTGGCCTTTGGGGTCTCCATCACCTTCAGGATCTCTGTGGCCTTTAGGGTCTCCAGGGCCTCCGAGGCCTCCATGACCTTTGAGGTCTCCATCACCTTCAGGATCTCTGTGGCCTTTGTGGTCTCTGTGGTCTCCAGGATCTTTGTAGCCTTTGGGGTTTCCACGGCCTCTGTGGTCTCCAGGGTCTCTGTGGCCTTTGTGGTCTCTGTGGTCTCCAGGATCTTTGTAGCCTTTGGGGTCTCCACGGCCTCTGTGGTCTCCAGGGTCTCTGTGGCCTTTGTGGTCTCTGTGGTCTCCAGGATCTTTGTAGCCTTTGGGGTCTCCACGGCCTCTGTGGTCTCCAGGGTCTTTGTGGCCTTTGGGGTCTCTGTGGTCTCCATGGCCTTTGTGGCTTCCAGGGTCTCCATGGCCTTTGGGGTATCCATGGCCTCTGGGGTCTCTGTGGCGTCTTTGTCCCCTGGGACCTCCACAGCCTCCAGGGTCTCCAAGACTTCTGTGGCCTCCATGTTCTCCAAAGCCTTGGGACAGCAGAGGCCATGCGGGAGAAGCCCTGGCAGGGTGTCCCCCCAATTCAACCTTGGGGATGGTGACCTCTGGTCCTGGAGGCCCCATTTGGGCTGTCCTCGGTGCCGTGACCCATGGTAACCCACTGCCCGTGTCCGGCAGCTGCTGCCCAAGCACTGCGCCTCCACCGTCAGCAAAGCCCGCAACAAGAAGACCCTGAAGCAGCCGACCAAGAAGGGGGAGCCCGAGAGGGACAAGCCGGGAACCGAGAGCCAGAGGAAGGACCGGACCCTGACCACCAAGTGAGAGCCACCCGGGACTGGCGAGGGTGGGCAGGGGGCTGGGGGGGAGCAGTGGCCACCAGACGTCAGGTGTGGGCATGGTGTGACATGGGGGGACGGCATGACCGTGGGGTTGTTCCCATGGGGCTGCGGTGTGGCTAACGGCACCTGTGCCCCCCCCCCCCCAGCATGGACAAACTGCACCTTACGCTGGCCGAGCTGTCTCTGAGCCTCAACCACGTGCCCAACTTTACTGTCTTCGAGCACACGGTGACGCCGGCCGAGTACCTCAGCAGCCACCTGGAGACACGCTTCACCAAGTAGGGATCGCACTAGGGACATGGGACATGGCAGGGCCAGGGTGGGCTGTGGGTGCTGCTGGGGAGGGGACACTCAGCCACGGCTCTCCAGACAGCCCCTTCCTCTCCCTGCAGAGCCATCGTGGCCATGGCGGGCGCCCGACCCGGCACACCG